GTAGGTGGCTTAAACAGCAGAAATTAATTTTCTTACCGTTCTGAAAACCGGCAGTCCAAGACGAAGATTTCGGCAGGTTTGATTTCCTCTCAGGTCTCTCTTTTTGGCATTCGGATAACCACCTTCTGGCTAGGTCTGGTCTTTCCTCTGTGAAAATACACCCGTGGTGTCTCTCTCTCTCTCTCTCATTAGAAATCAAACTGCCCCTCTTTACACACTTTCTGTTCCAACAAGGTTCATACACTGAGGTACAGGAGGCTGGTGCTTCAACATATGAATTTAGCCCATAATATAACCCCAGAAGATTCAGATTTTAGTACAGTGGTGCCAATGAACATTTTAGGCTATATCCCAGGTAACTGCGACCAGTTTAGGTGGTCAGAGTCTACACTTTGAGATGTTTTTGACATTTGCTTTGACTCTACGTCTTTACATTATCCTGATTCTTACATTATCCTGATTCTTTACATTATCCTGATTCTTACATTATTAATAATAATATATACCACGTATTAACAATACATTATTAATGCCTATAGAAGGTTCTCCATGACCCTTTGTAGTCACTCCATAAGACTTCTCGTAAATTCCTGTGTCTTTGTCTCAGATATTTCCTTTGTATTTCAATGACTTCGAATCTGAGGTTGTTTGGAATCCTGTCTTTTGGACTTGTTATGACCACAACTCAGACACACACTACCTATGAATTTGGCTCACACTCGTTCTACTAGTTTCTTCCATCTGGGACAGGGTTTTCTGCTCAAGAACTGATTTCCAAAATGCACCTGCCCAGCTAACATCACACAGGCTTGAGGGTCTGAACACATGGAACTCAGTGCTTGAGGGGGCCTCAGGACTGCACCTCAGAACTCAGGCAAAAAGCCAGGCCATAACTTGGGTGTGTCACTCTGGGGGAAAGAAAGGAGTCTGTCGGCTGATGTGAAGAGCCCTGTTTTCAGATTTACACGGTCTGTTTATGCCTGCCACTTCACCCTTAAATTCACTTTCTCAGTCTGAATGTGGTCCCTTTTGCACAGGCCAGGATTTTCATGTAAATCCCACTTCTACTTTACCTAAATGTGTTGGTTGTGGGGGAGGACACAACAAAGTATATTTTCCCTGTGGATTCTGCATTCTCCTACGGGGTGGCCAGAGAGGGCAGCAACAGAAGCCCATCATGGGCTGGGCACTGCACCTGGGTCCATGGTCTCCCATTTCATCCTTACAACACGGGAGACATGAGAGATCCCTTCCATCTGTAGGGCTGCAGCCCCTGGGACTCAACCGCCGCATGTAGATAGATGGTCCTCTTCCAAATCTGACGCATACTTTTTTACGGTATCCACACCTCCAAGATGCTTCAGGTTAGTCTCTATGATTCAAACATAGGGAACATGGTTGTTTCATAGTGTGGCAATTCTAACTGAAATACTCGTGGGTTTGTTCCTCTTGTCTGTTCATTCTTGTGATTTTTTAAATGTCATCATTTTCCATGTCTCTCTGGTTATATTTCTCTACATGCTGACAATTACACTCAAAATATTTGTGTGACAATTGGAAGTCTAGAATATATGCATGTTTCTTCATCATAAATAATTTAAACATACATCTTTTGGGCACTTGGGGTACTGCAAGTCTGGGATCACCTCAACCTAAACTCTGGATTTATTGGTTTCTGTATCACCAAGGTGACCCGTGACTTTCCAATGACTGATTTTGCTTGTGGCTTGCCCTTCTCCTCATAGTTTAGTCTTTGGAGATCTTAGTTTTCTCTGTGTGAGGTCTCATACTAGTTTTTTGACGTGGTCTGGCTCTGTGCTTTGACACCTATCCTCACTCCAGAAATGAGAAAGAGGTTCTGATTTCCCAAGATTAGAAAATCCCATCAGGCAAAAGTAGCTGCCAGGTCTGCCAATCTCAATGTCACTTTCCCCCTTGGCATGGTAATTCCCTATGAAATTGTCAGCTTTCCATTGTTTCAAAGATTTGCTTTTAAAATTTTATACACCACGTTTACTTGTTTTCATTAGATGGGTTGTCTCATAATGCAGCCTGACAGTACCTGAATCCCCACATATGGAGGCTATTTTCTTTTTCTCATTTCTTCCTGGGCCTTTCTCTCTCTCATTTCTCTTTTGTGAGGTCTCCTGCCTTTTTCACGGCCCTGAAACTCCCCACCGGTTCTTGTCACAGTGCATGGGCCTGTGGATTAGTGGTTTCTCGGATAGGTTCACAGTTGTGCCTAGGAGAGCAGACAGTGGGCGCTGAGTGTTCAGAGCCCCTCAGACTCTGCCCTGGATGCCTCTTTCCTTGGCTGATGTTCATCTGTATCTTCCCCGTAATAATCTATAACTGTGTGAATAACAGTGTCTGTGACTTCTATGAGTCCTTCTAGCATGTTATTGAAACTGAGGGTAGTTTTGGGAACCCTCTGAACTACAATTTGTGTTAAAAATTGGGCCACTCTCGTGGAGGACTGTGCCTACCACCTTTTCAACTTGGCTAACACTGGGCAGTATTTATATGTGCACATACATACATATGCATGTATGAATTTATATGTATAATACAACACTGACATAGCATTCTTTTTATTAAAACTGCCTGACCATGGCTGTAGCACGTGAGCAAGGCTTAGATACTTTTATCTTTGCGTCTTTATATTCAACGTGCTGTGAGACCCTTCCCCTGGCCTTTTAGTCCACACCGCCTCTGACGTGATGAGAGGAATTTTCACCACAGTGGGTTTCACCCCAGTGGGTTTTGTATCCATCTACAGTTCCTGTACATCTGTGTTTACTTCGCCTCCAACTCTGGTTAAAGGAAGAAAGTGAACCACAGAAGCCGCTTTTCCCTACTAAGCATTAGAACCTCATAAATCACAGTGACAAGAAATGTGATGATGGTCTCTTTCTGTTCTTGAGATTGGAGGAGGAGAGGCGTGCCGGTTCCAGCACGGTTCTGTCATTTTTCCCAGTGAGGGCACGGTGCGAAGGCATCCAGCAGGCTGACTCCTCAGCCCCAACTCAGTAATTCCCTCCTTGAATTGCTCCTGCACTGCAAACGCAGAGACATCCACCAGTGTCACTCGGGCAGTTTAGTACCCGCTGTGGAACTCTGGGCAGTTCAGTACCCGCTGCAGAACTCCAGGCAGTTAACAATGAAATTGTTGAGATTTCCTTTTTGTCTCCTTCCAAGCAGGCAGGGTATCATTTTTATCCCCCGGTTAAGCACGTGAATCAATCCTTTTGTACGTGACTGTGCATGTTTTCGGAAACTGTCTGGCTTTATACCTGGCAGGTGTGCTTGCTGGGCAGTGGTTCTGCAAAAGAGAAAGGAAATATACAGATCCTTCCATGTCCCCAGATTGAAATACAGCGCAGTCAAAGGAGGTAGCTGTTTTCTGGCCTGATATTTGCCTTTGCTTGTTTGAATTTTTAAACATATACCATCCAGAACTTGTTAGAGTTTTTAAAATACTATTTTTTAAAACTGGTGTTTTGCAAATTGTGGTTGACAGAGAGGGGTGGAGACCCGCATAGCAATGGGGACAAGTAGAAGAAGATGGAATATGTAGTAAATGTTTTAATCCCTGCAAAATTTGATATGCTTGCATGTTACATAGTTAATTTTCCAACAATAGTTTATTTTGAAAGAGCCAATACAGCTTGGCTTGATTTCTGCCTGGAGGCCATTCATACAGCCCTTTCTAAGGTAAGCACTTTTCACACCTCCCTGAACAAAGGTAGAGGGGTTATGCATCAATTAGCCCGTCAGGAACCTTTTGTCTATGAAGATTTGGAGACCAACGCACATGTAGTTGTTTATGGACATATTGCTTACGAGAGACCTGAAAAACATAGGTTTACAGTAAGAAAAAATTAGACGGTGGGCCTTCCTTTGCTGAAGCTGGAAGAGTCACTTTGGTGGAAAAGCAATTCCTGGCACAATTAAAATTTGACTTCTTATGTGGTTGTGTGTTTTCACCCAACTTATTTTAGAATATGTGATATTATAAAACAAACACTCCTTTTAAATTTAGTTTTTGAAATGAGAAATGTGTGTGCATGCATATGGTTATGCATGCACTCAATAGATATGGCTTATTATTTTTATTTAAAAAAATACTCAATGCAAAGATCTGTTCAACCCCCAAGTTTTGCTGAACTTAAAATACTAATCAAAATGAGCTCAGTTCTGTGACCAAAGTGATGCACTGAATGTAAAACTTAGAGAGTTCTCTACATTTTTGTGTCATATATGGAATCTGTAGGTGGGCTTTGGGGCATCTACAAATGAACTAGAGAATTACAAAGAATGTAGTATTTGTGCATGTGCATATTTGGGGGGTAGTCCATTGCTCTGGCTCTTTTCAAGGGACTTGAGCACCACTCTGAGTCTGGATGTGGGGCACAGGAGGTGCCATAGCATTTTCATGCCCACTCAGTCTGGGCTACAGGAGCAGCCAGCGCTGTGGGCTGACTCTTTTCATTGTGGAGGTTCTATTTCCAGAATTATAAGACATGTCTCTGTCTGCTCAGGGAGATACAAGGTAAGTGCTGGGGCCTCTCAGTCATGTTATTATCATCTCTTTGAATTTACCAGTGGGCTTTCTCAATTATCTGGAAGTTACACTTCGATGCTGGGCAGCGCCTTTACTGAATGTAATGCTAGGCAGTAGGAGGAAACTCTGTGTGTTTCTGTGTATTTGAAAAGTAGTAGTATATTGAAAAGATGTATATTAAGGAAATGAATGAATGAATATGTGTCTTAATGAATAAATAACCAAATAACTACAATAATATGTCATTTGACTTCTTCAGTGAAGTCCCTGCTTGGCTAAAACAGGAAATTAGAAAAGGGGATCAAGAGGCTTTTCTCTGTACCCACGGTGACCTCCTGCTCAAGAGAGATCCCCACACTGGTCGTCAGGGATATTGTCTGTGTTTCATCAAAGCTTCCCAGCCGTGGTCATTGTCCCTGTCTTTTTTTAATTTCAGCTATCCAGCTTGATAAAGTGGATCTTAAAGTGTACTGTGTATGGTCCCTTCTGGATAACTTTGAGTGGAACGATGGGTACAGCCTGCGGTTTGGTCTCTTCTACATTGATTTTGAAGATCCAGAGAGACAGAGAGTCCCTTATACATCAGCCAAGGAATATGCCAAGGTCATTCGAAACAATGGCTTAGAGGGACATCCATAGACCAAATTGCTGGGCATATCAGCTTGAGAAGAGGCCTCTGCGTTCGGAAAGAATCTGCTTTGCTGATCCCTCTGCCCATCTCAAGTTGCCTTCTAATCAACAAGTCCTCCCAGCTGGTCCATCACTGTGAAGTCTGAATACGAAGTGCCTGGGGAGGTATTTAATGATGGCCTCTCCTCCATGTGAATTTAGATCAATGGGGCTTTGAAAAAAAATGGAATAGAAAACCGCTGAAATTGATTTGATTTTTATATTAAGAAATCAAATAGACTTAGAAACTTCTATTTAAATTCTTTAAATCATTTTAGAAGTAATACAAAATTTATTATGATTTGCAACTCTAACAACAGACTACTATAAAAATTCTTATTTTTACAAGCCTATTTTTTTCTGGTTACACAAGCTATGATTTTTTTATCAGATTAATAACTTTTCTAATATTTAATCTAACGTACAAAATCAAAATAGAAAGTCAGTCACATTATATAGTTATGAATTCTGTTCACCAAAGGGATTAATTGATAACATTTAATAAAATGGATCTGTTGACAAATTTGGCATATATTTTATTTATGTACTATGAAGTATATCTTTCTCTTGCCTGATGAACTTTGGCAAATAACATATTAATAAAAACAAATTAGACTATGAATGCCAGAAATAATATTTGAATGTTGACACTTAGCAGAAACTGGATTCCTACTCTACAGTGACAACAAAATAAAAGCAACATAAATAGCAGGGTGTGGTCTTGCCTTTTGAGTATTTAAAAAACATTTAAGCCCTGGCTGGTGTAGCTCAGTGGATTAAGCACGGGCCCGTGAAGCAAGGGGTCATCGGTTCAAGTCCCAGTCAGGGCACATGCCTGGGTTGCAGGCCAGGTACCCAGTAAGTGACATAGGAGAGGCAACCACACATTGATGTTTCTCTCCAACTCTTTCTCATCCCTTTGCCTCTCTCTAAAAAATAAATAAATAAAATATTAAAACATTTAAGATCCAAACGGGCATTGATGACACCCGTGAAGACGTGCACGGATGGCTTGACTGGGAGCACAAGCAGACGGCAGAGCCGTTCGTTCCAGCGGTAGTGGAAGCACCTGGGATGACTATGGGGTTGAGTGAAGCCCGAGTGTTTCTGATCTTCAGTAATAGGTGCAGGGCTCCTTCTGGTCTTCATGTCTCCCCTCCAGCAAATCCACATATCTGGAATTTGGACTCTCACATCCTTGTTTAAGTAGTATTTACTAAACATTCATTTGGATGTCAGGTTTCAAAGTAAGAGATGATTATTATCACCCCCTTTTTCAGACTGAGAAACTGAGGACTGATGTGCATGTTCCTGAAGTCACGTTAGGGCATGTGTACAGGACCCAGAACCTCTTTGCATCAGCTCTGCGCTCTGTCGCGTACTCTGGAAGTCTGCTTTGCATCTTTTGAATAGAGGGGGGAAAGGAGCAAAGGTCTGGAATTGTCTTATGCAGGGGGAGATGGGTGAGTAAGGTGGTTTTCTGTATTTTAAGTCTGCGTACTTGAAGAAACTGCTCATGAGACTTTTGGCCCTGAACAGACGCTATGTCATTTTTTAAAAAACTGTGGTCAATTTCTGGATCGTTTTCATGTTCATAATCGGGGGATTATTTACAGCAAAGAACACTGTCTCAGTAACTTTGGACAGAGTGAGAAAGAAATGTCATTGTAGTTCAATAAACGTGGATGCACTGGGGAAAATTATATGAAGATTAAAATGGTCTACATAGGAAATTCTATTACATCTTTTATGCTGGTTTGTTATTTTTATTGTTCAATGAGACATTATCTCACAATTTGTGTTCATTTAAAAAGCACATTTCCAAATCTTATTTCATTCCTCTCCTATCCAGCCTGTCTTTTTCATTTTTACCATGTATCTTATTTACAATTTATGTGCCCTCTTATATTATCTTGCAAGACAACTGAGTTTTCCTTTTAATTAGGATGTTGCTTTGAATATTACTTATCCTACCGCGCATATTTACTAGTTTTACAGCAATACAAATGATCACTGTATTCTGGACACCCAAACCAGACAATTAATCTCCACATTATAAATTAAAGGATCTGTCACATAGTGTCCAACAGGTGAAATAAACATGATGGTTGCGACTCCTGAGCTTGTTCCTGGCGTGGTGGCCTTCTGCAGCCTGGGGCTGGATTCTCCAAGCCAGCTCTTCATCCCAGAGGTGGATCAGGCCAACAGTGCTTCCCTAATTAGTCCTGTAAATTAGGATTGCCACGAGGTTAAGCTGAAGGGAAAAAACAAAATCCACCAGCCCCAAACCTAACAGCCCCTCTACTGTTTTAATTAATGTTATTTTTAATTGCTTATATTAGCATTTGAAAACGAGATTGATTGGCTTTTGCCTGTCAGGGAAACAGAACTTGGATTCTTTAAGTGGAAAAACAGGAGTTGTTAATTATACTTAAAAATCCATAGATAGTGTACTTAGATGTCTTGAAGGTCATCTGAGGCTTGTAAAACACATGTTTTATGTCTGTTTTATCTAAGGAGAAACCTGGATATCACAGTGATGGATTGAATTTCCTTGTATTTCTTCCTCTCTACCTTCCTTCCTTGCTATTTTTCCCTTTAAGGGAACATGAAAACATGTTATTAATATCTGTGGATCATTTTCAAATAATTTTTAAATAATTGTTTTTATTTTAGGGCCGATCATTTCTGAATTGCTAAAAACTTGCAGGGGATAACCATAGCCTATTGTCATTTTGATATGTAGGGCTTTCATATTATAATTCCCACAAACACCCCCAGAAAGTGTCCACCTAAGCCCTTTAGTGAGTGAGAAGGCATGAGTTCTCATTAAGAAACCCATAAACTAAGAAGTTGGCAACCATGGTATTTGGCCGTAGAGTTCTAGTCAGGCTTTTGTGCTCAGGGAGTTCGTGTTTGGCCCGTAGCTTTTAATTATTTTTATGAACGAGGGAATAATGAATGCATTTGTAATATATTGAAAAAATTCCTCAACACTGACTGACCAAAAAGTAGATTTATATGATAATCCTTAAACACCAATTCTATGGCTCAGTGCTGAGCAGAAAGAAAATAAAATACTGAGCTTCATTACTGAAAGAGCAGAATAAATCAAAGCTGATGGAATTAATACTGTTTAATTACTAGCAATACACCTTACCCAGAGAACGCATATTCATCACTGAGCACAGTATTTTAGGCTACAGTTGTCCTGGGAGGGAGATAGTACTGAGCACAAAGCATGATGAGTCTTAAAGAATGAAATTAGAAGACATTTTGACGTTGAGACACTTTACGATGGCCTTTAGAATTATGGCAGCATGAAGGAGAATCAACCGTCTTAATTATGGCCATAGGGAAGCCAGTACCATGTGGGAAAGTTCTGGGTTGGGGTCACAGGGAAGAGTGATTCCCAAAGGCAAGGAGAGTTCGTGAGTGCTGCTTGCAGGAGTAGCCAGGGCCTGTTGTCTCAGGTGTTCTTGGTGTCCACAAGTGTCACCTGACCCATGACTGGCTAAATATGACCTTGCCTGAGTGGCTATTGGTATCCAGTATAAGGCAAATGTAATGTAATCATTATGAATGCAGGCTCTGGAGCCGATTCACCTGGAATTAAATCTTGGCTCTCGCATTTAAGCAACTCACTGAACTTCCCTGTGCCCCAGTTTTCCTCTGTATAAAATGGGCTCCTCATAAGGCTGTTGTGAGAGTTAAATAAAGGGATGGTTACATGCTTAGAACAGTTTCTGGAACATGGCAAGGGTTCGACTAGCATGAGCCATTATTTTTTAACTCTCAGACTTGCCCACGGTGATCCAACAGGAGTTCATCAGTTACAGTTCAGATGGTCCCTACCTCCGTCCCTGCAGAGGTGCCTACTCTGGTGGGTTGTAATTCACCGTCTCACTAATGTCTGTGGCAGCCATTTTCCACATGACATCCACTCTCTGATCTGAGAAGAGCTGTTAATTTTCAGTTGGTTCAGCTTTTTCTCATTAGGGAGCAATGTCTTCCAAGCTCCTTTATACAAGGATATTGGACCAGAAGTGGGAAGGCGCTGTTACTGTTACAATCATTGGAATGGAAGTTTCCCAGCAGTCTCAACAGGACATGTTTATTAAACTAAACTGTGCAGTACATTGTACAGGTGCCATTCCGCAGACAAGATAGTGCGCATCCAGAGAAGGTCAGGTCTGGCTGGAGAGCCAAGACAGAGACCCCAAATGGTAGACAATGAATGCCAGGGGAATTTTCCATGCAGTGACAGGAGGGAGAGGTCTCTGCTTGCTGGGGTGCATCAGTAAGCCTTCATGGGCAAGGAAAACACATGAAATATAAAAATAATGTAGCGAATACGACGATACTACAAATAATGTAAGTAAAAGTATGAAAGTGGAAAGCATAAGGCCTGCTGGAGGTGTCGGAAGCACCCAGGCCACTTTGCCACAGTGAAAAGAATGAGCAGGTTTGGATTACTCTACGGAGATCCTCTGATGTTCTTCAAAGATGTTTGGTTTTATCTTAGAGCAAAGTGGAAGATTTCTGAGCAGCATGTCCAGGTCTAAAAGCAACCTATTGAAAAATGGAAAAGAAGGCAACCTGTGGGAACCAGATGGAAAATTTCTCATAGAATAAATACACATAGTGGTAAGGGGCCCATTTAAGGTGAGAACTGCATGTATGAAGAGTTCATGTGTAATTCATGCGTGAAAGGTACATAGGAACCTAAATGCAACACTTGTCTATTGGGTGGAGTCCTAGAACAACAAGAACAAAAAGGACATTAGCAGAAAACTGGGAGCTACAAATGGTCTTTAGTTTAATTGATAGTGTTTACCCATGTTAATTTCTTAGCTTTGATAAATACATATACAATGGTTATGTAAGATGTTTTAGGGGAAGCTGGGTAAAGAATATATGAATGCTTCATTTTTTTCTTTGCAACTCATTTGTAAATCCAAAATTATCCCCTACCCAAAGTTTTTTAGTATGTACTTGGTAAGACTTGATACTCTATTCAAAGAATGTATTAGATAGAGACATATATTATGTACATACAGAGACAAAATATAGGAAAAAATAACCACTGTTAATGTCCTGATATTTCCTTTTTCTTTCTCTCTGGGTTGTGATATTATAGCTTTTTTAAACTTTGTAATTTGCTCCCAAGTTTTCCTTACTTAGCTTCTGTTTTTATTTTAATTATTAGAATATATTTTAAAAATCAAACGAGCAGGCCAGTGATTCCTGGGCTGTTGTCACAGTGGAGATAGCTAAGTCAGCAATGGCTTTGTATGGGAACAATGGTGCAATTGACAGAAATCGGCAAGTACACACACGACTTCATCCAGGTGATACTTTAAACATGTCATGGCAACAAATACTTTGTAAGTGCGTATTACTGTTTTGAGATATTCAAAAATTAATTGCTACTTCTAGTCTGCAATCACTAATTTATTATACCTCTGTCACACCTGGTGCTCGTCTAGATGGTGAACGATTGGAGGTCTTCTTCATTGTAATAGTTCTAGTACCTAGCATGATATCTGGCATATCTAAGCAATTTGTAAATGTGTATGCAAATATTGATGCAGTGGATGTTAGGTAGTCAAATTCTTATTTGCAATAGAAACTTAAGACACAGATTGACTCACTGAATCCTTACAAGAACCCCATGAGGTACAGACCAGTGCACTAAGGCAGCAGAAGATCACTTGTTTAAGCCACTGGGCCAGTGAGTGGTGGAGACCACATTAAAACCCTTGTGGCCTGTTTGCAGACACCGAAATGCTACTTTATATTCTTTCTTCATGAGGTTGTGGTAGAACAGGCCTGGCCTGGAGCTCCCAGGTGTTTTCTTTAAAAAAATTTTTATTGAATTCATTGGGGTGACATTGGTTAATAAAATTATGTAGGTTTCAGGTGTACATTTCTATGCTACATCATCTGCATATTGTGTGTTCACCACCTGAGTCTCATCACCATTGTCTCCTCCCTTCCATCACCATTTATCTCCCTCTTACCCTCTTCCACCTTCGCCCACCCCTCTTACCCTCAAGTAATTGCCATACTGTTGTCTGTGCCTCATTTCTTTTTTTGTTGTGTTGTGGTTTTCTTTTTATGTTGTTGTTGCTGTGTGTGTGTGTGTGTTTGCTTAATCCAGTTTGTTGTCCTTGGGCTACCCTGGCATATGATTTAGCTGTATCACAATATTTCAGTGTAGGATCCTCTGTGTCTCCAAAGCATCAGCTAATTTTCCACACTTCCCAGCTAGACATTTCACAAAGTAGCAATTGTGTAGTTTCCTTCCTAAAATGAACCGTTGTCCACCTGTACATTGTGATCCTTGTTTCTGTATTTAACAGGCTACGTTGTTCTCGAATCCTGTCTTCTAATAAGGTAACTACTCTTCCCAGCAATGACATTGACAAAATGAAATGACTCCACGGATAAAAGTGCTGCACTTCCACCCCCTCCCCCATGAACAGATGTGGTGGTCAAGCCCAGGGGGAGGGGGAGGTCATCCATGTCACTTGTGAAAGGTGCAACCTCAAGCAACTGACACACATCCCTGATTTTTACTTCCCTCACCTGTGAAGTGAGAAGTAAAATAAAACCAGCAAATTCATAGCATTGTCGAGAATTAAATGAGATGGTATGTGCAAGGCAACTTAGAACACTGTCCACTAAGTAGTAGTTTCAATGTCCATTAAGTGCTCACTATTATTATTTTTCTGTTAATATTAGTGCAA